CATAAAGATTACAGCCTGGGAAAGCCTATTGGGTAGTTCTACTCTGTCCTACAGGGTAACTATGAAACTGAATCAGCTCAATAGCATTGGGTTAATACACGGCAAATGTTCAACAAATGCTGGGTATTAGGAACATTATCATTGTCTTGCACTTTCAGGTTCAGAAAGGAATCTCAGAAGTCACCTAATGCAACTCTCTACCTGAGATGTGTTGACCCTTGTTGTACAGTATGATACCTAGTATCCAGTGTGGTGACCACTATCCCCTATGGTAGCCATTATGAAGTATGGTAACCATTATGCAGTATGGTGACCACTGTGCAGTATGGTGACCACTATCCACTGTGGTAAAGAGCTCTGGGGATGCAGTGGCTAACACATTCAGCTGCTGACCAGAAAGTTGGTGGTTCAAACCCACTAGCTGCTCAGTAGAGAAAGACGAGGCAGCCTGCTTCTGTAGAGCCACAGCCTTGAAAACACCACAGGGCAATTCTGCTCTGTCCCATAGGTTCGCTATGGGTCGGGATTGACGCGATGGCAGTGGGCATCCAGTATGGTAACCACTATGCAATATGGTGACCGTGACCCAGTACAGTAGCCACTCACTACCGAGCTCTTGAAACGTGAGTCTTCTAGCTATGTGGTAAAGTATAAAATACAAATCAGATTTTATAAACTTGTTTTGGAAAAAGAAATGTAAAATATCTCAATTATTTTGTATCAGCTGTATGTTCAAGTGATAATTTTAAGAAACATGGCATCATATAAAATAGATTATTAAAATTAATTTCACTTGTTTCTTTTGACTATTCTTGACGTGGCTGCTGGCACATTTAAAACTCCATTATTGGGTTCACACTGTATTTCTATTGCACAGTCCTATGTTAACCCCACTAGCATTTGACTCAGACTTTGCTTATCTCTCCAACGACGGGGAACTCACCACCTGCAGAGAAACAGCAGCTGTAGTAGGTAGGCCTTCCTTAGAATGTGTGAGCTCCCCTCCCTGGAGCTTACACATTATTATTACTCCTTGTCCACATGGGTCTTGGCTCTGCTGTCCAAAGACACTATTGCCCTCCTTCCCATGGGACATCTTCACAAGAAAGCTCACGCATGAGAAAATCCGCAGAACACCCTGAGAATCGTAAAGGGCACATAAATCTGAGGCAACAGGCTGGTGCCAACCTTCAAAACGGCATAGTACTTTGGCATCTTCATGCATTTTTTTTGTAACCCGTGATGAAGCTTGTTTAAGACCTTGTTTTAATGTCGACTTTGTTCCAGTTTTGCGGTCAGAAAGTTCTCTATCTCTGATGTTGCTCCCCATTTTATTTGGAAAGAACTACTCACGGTGTCAAAGTAGTGCCCCATGTTCTCAAAGCTGTGCCGATTGTCGTGGACGGAGAAGGGGAAGTTGTTATTTACTGCTTGCTGGAAGAGAGCGAGAGAAGAGGTTAGAAGGCACACATCAGAAGCCAGGATGCTTTTAGAACTGGGACACAGTGATGGGAAAGGAAGGCTGAAGAGGCAAGCACCCTTTGTGTAGGGAAGTGGGCTCATCACCAGAGAAGGAGCGACAGACAGCACGGGACAGTGAGGTCATCGCTGTCAGTAGCAGATTAAGCCTTTGTAACTCAACCTGACTGCCAACTTTCTGAAATCATAAAAGTCCTCTTTCAAACACCTTATTTGGAGGCAGGAAAGGAAAAGTGGATGGGCTCCTGAACTGAAAGCTGGAACAGACTTCCGGGGCCTTTGTTTAGCCAGTGAGGATCCTGGGAGAGCAGAACCAAAGCAAAACCAAACACACTGCCGTCCAGTCGGACCCCACCCATAGCGACCCCTAATTGGGTTTCTAAGGCAGTATCTCTACGGAAGTAGATTGCCAAATCTTCCTTCTGAGGAGTGGCTGGTGGGTTTGAACTGCTAGCCTTCTGGTTAGCAGTCAAATGCCTTAGGCACTATGCCACCAGATCTCCTGGGAAGAGCAGAGTGACTCATCAAGTGTGACTGAGATTAATCGTGAATTGGCCACAAACTGAGTTGTAACCAAACACTTTGTTTCTTGAACCTAATGTGACCACCTGGACCAGGAGGTGCCTCCTTCTGGAGAGTATGGGGAAATGGGTTAGGGTCTAGAGCTGTCACAATGACCAGGGTGTACATTGGGGATGCTACCAACTGCCTCGGAAACCCAAGGAGGGGTCGCTGTGAGTCGGGGCCGACTCGACGGCAAATAACAACAACAAACCAACATGTAGGGGTCTAGGATGGTACAAGTGCAGTTCCTCACCAGAAGAACTTGTCTGGCCAAAAATGCTGAGGGTGAATTTCACATTCCAGTGTGGCTCTGCTGTGGTGGCCAACTGTTTGGCCAAACGCTAGACCAGAAGTTGCTGGAAAGGTATTATGCACACATGATAAGCACTTACAAGCAGTTGACTTGAAGTCAAGATTACTCTTGATAATGTGGGTGGGTCTTATCAGAGCAAAAACAGGTTTCCTGGAGAAGAAAGAATTCTTCCTCAAGACCGCAGCATCATCACCTCCGGCAGAGTCTCCAGCCTGCCAGCCTGCCCTACAGAGTTCTGATTTGCCAGCCCCCACAATTGCATGAGCCAGTTCCTTAAATAAATCTGTGTGTGTATGTGTATGTGTGAGTATGTGTATGTGTGTGTGTGTGTACCATCGCCCATCTGTCAGTGTGTTGTACTGTGGCGGGTTATTTGCTGCAAGGCTGGAAGCTATGCGACCAGCATTTCAAATCCCAGCAGGGTCACCCACGGTGGACAGAGTTCAGTGGAGCTTCCAGACTGAGACCGACTGGGAAGAAACACCTGGTGATGTACTTCTGAAAATCACCCAATGAGAGCACTTGGATCCTAAGAGCACATTGTTCTGTACAGTGCTGGACAATGAGCCCCTAGGTTGGGAGATACCCCCCAAAGGCTGCAGCAATGGACTCAACTTGCCAAGGATCATGAAGTTGGCTCAGGACCAGGCAGCATCTCACTGTTATACATAAGATCGCCATGCGTCAGAGCCCACTCGACAGTAACCAACAAAGTGTGTGTGTGTGGAGTGTGTGTGAGCATGCATGTATGTGCAAGGGTGTGTGTGAGCATGTGGAGTATGTGTGAGCATGAGTGTGGGTGAGTGTATGTGTGAGTGTGTGTGAATGTGTGGAGTGTATTGTGAGTGTGCATGCGAGTATGGGTGAGCATCTGGGTGTGTGAGCGTCTGTGTGTGTGAGCATGTGGATTGTATGTGTGAGTGTGCGTGTGTGTGTGAGCGTCTGTGTGTGAGTGTGTGGAGTGTGTGCCTGAGCGCACACGGGTGTGGCTGTGCCTCTCTGGAGAACCCTGACTGATGGTCCCGTTGGAGCGCACAGGGGGCCATGCCCCTGACTCACCTTCTCCCGGGCTTTGTAGATGGGCGGTAGCTTCCCCTCCATCTGACGAATCGCATGTGGGATTCGGGCTTCTTTCAACATGGCGCTGGTCATGGATTCTGGTGTCTTCTGTGTGAGTCCAATGTGAGGGAACTGCAGAAAGAGCACGTGTCTTGATTAAAACCAGACACAGCTGGATCTACAGGCCAGGTACCAGAGCTTCCTCTGGAAAGTGATTAAAATGCCATTTGGGCGCTTCTGGCATCCAGTGGAAATGGCATCATCTCTGTAATTTTAAAGTATTCTTTCCAAGACAAGAAGACATTGTAACGGCCCAGAGCCACCTGTTTCAAGTTACAGGGGCCACCCCCGCTGCACCAGCACCTGGAACTGTTTCCAGGCCTGGGGGTGGGCGTGGCCTCCACAAGCAGAGAGCACCAAAGGAGAAAGACCTTCTGTCTCGCCAGGGAGCTCCAAGCACTTGGGGCCAAGGACAGAGCCCACGTTCATGGAGGTGAATCCCACCTCCAGTGATGCAGGTATGGGGTGGGCCCGAGAACATGGGGCACGGCTGCCACTGAGAAGGGAGGTTGTGGACAGTGGGGATGCCTCAAGGAACAAAGCAGGCAGAAGCCTACCAAGCCAAGCAGTGAGGAACACGACGCTTCTGGGGGGGCGCTGTGGGATGGGGACCTGGGAAAAGAGGGTTGGAAACTGGCTCGGGCAGAGGGAGGCTCTGGGCTGCGATGGTGTCCCACCAAGGGCCCCAGCAACCCCACGGCTGTCTCTGAGTTGTCTTCATCGGGGAGGGGCACCAGACCTTTGTGTCCCCTAATAGCTCAGACAGCTTTTCCAGGCGTCCATTTCCTGACATGTAAAATGGAAATAATACTACTTTGTGCATAGGATAGCCAACCAGCTGCTGCCAAGTTCACTGGACTCCTGGTGGCCCTATGGGTATCAGAGCAACACTGGGCTCCACGGGGCTGCCACTGGGTGTCAGAGCACCGCTGGGCTCCACGGGGCTTTCACAGGCCAACTTGTTGGAAGTAGGTAGCCAGGCCTCTCTTCCGAGGCGCATCTGTGTGGACCTGAACCACCGACCTTTCAGTTAGCAGCTGATCACATTCACGGTTTGCACCACCCAGAGATTTTTGATAGGGCAGAAAGCACTAAAAGAGAACGCATGCTCCCAGAATGTTCTCAAGAACTAATGGTACGTTCCTGTTTTTGCTCACAGCTGTCCCCACATTCCTAAATCCATTCCCACTGCCCTGTCTGTCTTCCTTCCTTCTCATTTTGATGGTATTAGGCAGCACTGGCACAGTCCTACTTCTCCAGCCACAACAGAACTTGATGTTGAGGTGGTGTTTGCTTAATGTCTGAGCACAAGACTGTGTTTAGCGTCTTCCCCTTTATGTAGAAGGTGAGAGTGATGCTTGGTTTGGAGTCTACACAGCTGCAAGAGGCATGTGGACCTAAGACTGGACATATCTTCAAACCACAGTTGTTGAGTGGAAAAAAGGAAGGAAGAAACAGAGTGAGATGCATAGCCCAGCACTACTTATGTAAATGAATAATCCGTGTGCATAGAACACTGATCCATCATTTACAACAGCAGGTCCAAATGAAAGAACGTGCTCAAGGGCATCTGAATGGCTGCCCAAGGGGTGAGGCGAGTGGGACGGGGATCCAGGGCGGGCAACAACCCACACAGACCTCCCACCCTTCCATGTGTAGAGTGTCTGGCGGTTATACAGGAAATTGGTAACCGGAGAATCTGGAAGGAGAAAGACTTGCTGTTTCCTGTCGATCCTTTCGCGCTGTTTCCCTGTTGCTTAACCAAGTGTGTGTATTACATCATGGGGGTTGTTTTTTTCCACAAGAGAGATGACTGTATTTTGTTTCTGATTAAAGTTGTAATACATGCTCATGGCTTAAAGGAATTCGAGCAACATAGGAAAGCGCAGGAAGGAGGGAACAGGCGCCTGAAGCCCTGTCGCCCTTCTCCACCAGCTCCTTGGCCGCCATCCTTTTCGTAAACCTTAGGCTTATGCACACACATACACAGATCGTTTTTGCATGCATTTTGTTGCTGTTCGCCGCCGTTAAAGCGACTCCGTGTATGGCAGGATGAGACGCTGCCCGTCCTGCACCAGCCCCCAATTGCTCACGGAATCACTAAACTCTTACGGGCTGATTTTCCCAAGTTGATCACCAGGCCTTTCTTCCTAGTGCGTCTCAGTTTAGACGCTCTGCTGAAACCTGCTCAGCATCCCAGCACCATGCAAGCCTCCAATAACAGACAAGTGCTGGCTGTACTTGCTGCACTGGCCGGGAATTGAACGCAGGTCTCCTGCATCCAAGGCGAGATCTCTACCACTGACCCCTTTGCGTCCACAGGGCCATATTATCAGTGTGCTTATAAAAATTATGAGTACCTTTTTCTTTAGCAGTAATTTTGGGTTACTTTCTCTCCTTGTCACCCCCCACTGCCGCCTGCAGAGAACCAACGCTAACAACTGAATGCTCGGTACAATCGTTACAGACGCCTCTACGCGGAGGGGTGTGTGCTGCTTTGCAAACACTGAATCATACATGCCTACCACTTTGCATCTTGCTTCTCTCACTCGACAATATACCTGAGACGTTCTCCAGGCCCGAACTGTTCATTTCTAATTCATGGGAATTTCATTTTCAAAAAACATTTTTGAACAATTGCCTTTTAAAGATACATATTAATAATACAAAGGGCTGACCACCTTTCCCTTCTTCCCTCCTCCACGTGCGTCAGGTCAACACTCCAGCCTGCGAAGCTGTGCACCTTTGGGCTGGGGCTGGGGCAGCTGTTCTGACATCAGGAATGTTCTCTCTCACCAGCTAAATGACTCGAGTTCATTTGTATTCTGCAAGTCTACAAACTACATCGCTGTAAAAAAAAAAAATGGACCTAGCATTTTAATTCCACTCTCTTAAAATATATATTTAATGGCTATAACAAGATAGCTGTGAAATAAACCCTTCTGTTAGATATTGTAACCATGAAATATAGCTTTTTAACTAGTTGGGGGTGAGATTCCTGCTGCATTCACTCACTCACTGACTGAAATATTAAATAGGGAGGTGAAAATGGGTGGGAAAATCCTTTCCTACCCACAACAGCCAGATGACAACAGCAAGGTCAACTACAAAATGACTGTCCCCTCTAATGTGGCAATTACTGTCCTCCCAAATGGGCTGCTGCTGACTCAAAGCCACCTATTTCTTTAATTTTCCCTACTCATCTGCAAGTTACTTTGGGAAACTTCAGGATCAGCACTCTTCTTCTTTACGCTGTGTGTGCTGGCAGCAGACAGGACCCACGCCAAGGGCTTAAATCAAGCGAAGGGGATGTGACCTCTCCACCTAAGACACCAGCACCAATTCCCTGAATTTTCATTCTATTCATAGTTTACAGTTTTACTGTGTGTATTTCCCGTACATCACTGTAAATCTTGGTGGAACGAAGCAAGGTGCATTAAGAAATATATATATATATGCACCTATATGTCATAGTGAAGGTCTCTGGGGAGCGCATGGTTTGTGCTCAATTACTGACATTAAGGTTGGTGGTTCAGACCCACCCAGTGCTCCCACAGGAGACAGGCCTGGCAATCTGCTTTGGTTGAAATGACAGCCAAGAAGATGCTGTGAAGCCGTTTTACTCTGTAGCACATGGGTTGCCACGAGTCACATTCAACTTGTTGGCAACTAACGACTACAACATGTCACAGTTCGTACCCAGTGGGTACAATGTACCGTGGGTAATACTAAGCATGTTCGTATGAATTAACCCATTCATCCCCTCTAACCTTGGTCATTATTACTCCCACTTTACAGGTAAGCTGACATTTAGAAAGATTAGAAAGCTTAGCCAAGGTCATGCCCAAGTGGGTACAATCAGTTTCTTATAGCCTTCGGACACAAGTTTACAAAGGTGTCTTCCATTTTGACTTTTTCTTTGAAAGAAATGTAATGGTTTTCTGTGTATTGCTGCCTTAAAAGACCCTTACTCCCTGCCTTTCCCCAACTCTGTCTCTCGCTGTGAGGATCAGGGAGGTCGTGGGCCACAGTCTACTGCTGGGATTCCCCTTGTGAGTGAATTGTAGAAATCAGGGATGGGAAAGACCCATCCGTGTATGACATATGCATCCCAGAGACCCAATAGGAGTCCTTGGTGGTGCAGACAATTGATGTGCTCGGCTGCTCACTGAAAGGTTGAGGGTTCAAGGCCGCCCAAAGGCACCTCAAGAGAAAGGCCGAGGGAACTCCTTCCAGTAAATGAGCCTTAAAACCCCTGTGGAGCACAGCTCTCCCCTGAGACACATGGGGTCGCCATGAGTCAGAGTCAACTTGTTTTACTGGCAGAGACCAAACAAGAGAGGCACTGGGGCCACAGGGTTTCCTGATAGACTAGTAATCACTCCCATTGGGCTTTGTGGCAAATATTCAAAGAGTGGGGCTTGGGGAAGAATATGAAGCTGGCGAGCATTCAGAACATCAAGATGGGTTAAGAGTGCCTTCACGAATTCTCCCCTATCACAGTCTGGTGGGGCTGAGGGACTCAGACTGGGAATTAGCAGCAATGTATTTAGAAGTTTCTAATGCAATATCTAAAGCACTTGTCTGCTAACCAGAAGGCTGGCGGTTCAAACCCACCAGCCACTCCTCGGAAGGAAGGTTGGGCAATCCTACTTCCGTAGTGATACTGCCTTGGAAACCCAAGGAGGGGTCGCTATGAGTCGGGGCCGACTCTACGGCACATAACAACAACAACAACAATGCAATATAGTGTTGAGCTCTGGTGGTGCAGTCATTAAGTCCTCGGCTGCTAACCAAAAGATCTGCAGGTTGAACCCACCAGCTGCTCCTCGGGAGAAGGATGTGGCAGTCTGCTTCCATAAAGATTTACAGCCTTAGAAACGCTATCGGGCAGTTCTACTCGCCGGTAGAGTTGCTATGAGTTGGAATGGGGTAGTGGGTAGTGGGTTGGGTTAGGTTTTAATATATTATTAATTTATTCAGCAAGTAGCTATTGAGCTCCTTCTCTGTGTCAGAGCCTTTTATGGGTACTTGAGATTCATCAGTGAATTAAGAAGACAAAGAACTCCCCTCATGGAGCTTATGTGCTAGCCTATAACAAGATGATAAGCAACATCATCAACATGTATACAACAATAAACACAAGCTGATAAGCTGTAACATATGCCAAAAGATACATGATGGAACAAAGAAATTGAACAAAGAAAGAACAGCACAGAAAGCAGTTGCTGTCTAGTAGGCACTTACAAGGAGCCAATGTCCTGAGTACCTTACACATACTGTTTCACGTACGTCTCCCAGGAATCCCGTAAGATTCCCATTTCACTGGTGAAGGGAAGGAGAGTGAGCAAAGGAAGTTGTCAAAGGCCGCGCTTTAGTCAGTAGCAGAAGCAGGATTTGAACTCAGGTCAGCATCCTCAGCCACACCCATGTGGCACGAGAAAGGTTGTGGAAGACACCATCTTTCTTACCCACATTCCGTCTTTGTCTAAAGGTGGGTTGAAGCATCTCCGCTTGGGCATTCTCTCCAGGAAGCTGAACTTTGCTGAGCCTGGGTCCTTTACCTCCCCATTGCCTCCCAAGCTCTACACATCTGCGACCACTCCTTCTCGCTGTTCCTGATCTTGAATTCTCAGCCTTCAACCTGGAAGGAAGCTGGGGAGTGACCCCTGTTGTCATAGAATCAGAGCTCACCCATCACAATGGGTGGAGGTCTTCTGAGGATTCTTGCCACTGATTCCCTACAGCTGCTGCTGCCCAGGGGAAAGGCAGACCACCAGGTCCCAGCGGAGGAAACCCTGAACAGGTCAAACAGGTGAGAGCAAGACAATCTTGGAGCAATGGACAACTTTTTGCACCTCTAAATTCCTGAACCAATAATATTTGAATGGGGTATCCCCATGGTAACCATATGTCCTCACCTCCTAGTTTGCTGAGAATAACTTGAATCCCACATGGGAGGATGACATTGTCCACATCAAGGGCACAGTAGAGTCCAAGATTCAACCTCCAACCAGGTTCCTCCCACAGCTGCCTGGGTCACCAGCCCAGATTCAATCACAGGGGACTCACAGCACACTCACCTAAATGGCACATCATTGAGACGACATCAAGATACACACACAGAGAAGGAAGAAACATTGAGGAATAGCTGTTACGTGCCAGGCACTGGGCTAAGCTAAACGCTTCACACGTTTCATTTTACACTGAAACCTGTGAGAGGCAGAACTTGACGGGACTGCTTGTTTTCTAGCTCTCGCAAGTTTTCTGCCTTTGACAGTGCAGTCTTAATACCTCTCTATCACTCTCTCTTGTTGTTGTTGTTGTTGTTTTGCCGTCGAGTCAGCCCCGACTCACAGCGACCCCTCCTTGGGTTTCCGAGGCAGTATCACTATGGAAGTAGGATTGCCCAACCTTCCTTCCGAGGAGTGGCTGGTGGGTTTGAACCACCAGACTTCTGGTGAGCAGTCAAGTGCCTTAGGCACTATGCTACCAGAGCTCCTATCACTCTCTCTTAGTGGAAGATATTTGAGTATTCCTTCTCTGACAGGTTTCTGCCTGTTTCCAAGGTGGTATCACTACAGAAGTAGATTGTCCAACCTCCCTTCCGAGGAGTGGCTGGTGGGTTTGAACTGCCAGCCTTCTGGTGAGCAGTCAAGTGCCTTAGGCACCACACCACCAGGGCTTCTTCTTAGTTCTATAGTGCTGCTATAACAAACACCACAAGTGAATGGCTTTAACAAACAGAAGTTTATTTGCTCACCATTTAGGAGGCTATAATTCCAATCCAGGGCATTGGCCCTTGGGAAGGCCTCCTGTCTTCTTGGCTCTGGACAAAGGTCCTTGTCCCTTCCGCTTCTGCTTCCTGGTTCCTTGCAACACATCGCAAAATGAAGGACAACTGCACAGTACTGGGGACCATGGCCTAGCCAAGTGGACTGATTTTGGGGGAGGGGCACAACTCAATCCGCGATACCACCTTACGCAAGGTCCAGTTTTCACAGGCTTCACTGTATTCGCTTCTGACCGCCCTCAGCGTTTACAGACGAGGAAACGAGACAGAGGCCTGTCCCAGTGTCCCAGTGCCTACCTTGACACCTCAAAGATGGACTTTCGTCGACCAGGTGGCAAGTGAGTGACGCCCCATGCTACTCCAGTGGTCCTTCCCAGTGGAAGCAAAGCTGGACCACACCTCACAGGCAAAGGTGATGAGCTGGCCAGTATGAAATGCTGCTGCCCTGACCCCTAAGACTGAGTGTAAAGTCAAAGAGGAGAGAGTTAGCCAAAGACATGATTTCGAAAGCCTAAAAGCAATACCATTCCCAACACATTCACTTTGTCTCCACCGATGGAGCAGAAAACCCTCTAGAACAGAAACTTTATTTTTAAAATGTTTTGCATCTCCTCTGCACTGGTTCTTATGCTCCGTTAAACAAGTTACATGATCCCTGGTGAAGGTGAATTTTCTCCTTTTGAATGATTGCTCAAAATCCTAACCAATTTGTCCAAGATCATCGAAATTGAATAAAATCAACCTGGTCAGGAGAAATGAAATCCGATTTCTTTTCTTCAGCTAGGATTTCTCTCTTGCAATTTGGGGCTCTTTGTTGGTGGTGGTATTCTTTCCAGAGGTTTGAATTACTGGGCTGAACTTGGAGAGCTACCACTCTGAAAACAAGCAGTGTGGTGCTCAGGGACTCAGTTGACCAAGGCTAAGAGTACTGGAAGGAGCTCTGGTAGCATAGTGGCTAAAGCACTTGACTGCTAACCAGAAGGCTGGCGGTTCAAACCCACCAGCCACTCCTCGGAAGAAAGGTTGGGCAATCCTACTTCATAGTGATACTGCCTCGGAAACCCAAGGAGGGGTCGCTATGAGTCGGGGCCGACTTGACGGCACATGACAACAACAACAACAACAAGAGTACTGGAGGGTCACACTCTATCCTGCCTCGGGCCTCTGCCCTCTGCTCAGAGTGTGGTCCAAATCGGCCAGTTGGCGTGGGGGTCTGTAAATACTGGCTGCACAGCAGTGTTGATTCACTCTGCCAACAAATATTGACTGAACGCCTACCATGTGCCAGCACTGTTTGTAGATAACTGTAAGGGATTTTGTGAAAATCACTTATTTAAATATTCAATCCTGAATTTAGCAATTCATCCGATGGCCCCTACCCCAGATCATTGATTAAGCCAAATTATTTTCAGTGAAGGACTGACACCATAGTGAGAAGGATTTCATCCACATATTTGTTGACATGACAGTTTGTGTGTATTTTGAATTTTAGGTCTTATTTATCCAATGTACTGAGGATTTTATGGAAGGCAGGTGGGTCTACCTCTTCCATGCCTTTTCAGTGCAGGGATGCTCTGCCCCCTTTGTGGTCATGGATGTGCTGTCTGTTGCAGGGGAGAAAGTGGTGGGATCATGGGGACTGTGTGGGAATGCTTCCCGCATGTGCCTGCACGTGTCCCCACAGGGTTGCACCCACTGCCACTCGCCAGAAGCCTATAGGTGGTTATTCCACTAAGTCTCAGTTCCTTCTCCGTGTTCATGGCCACTAATCCTGGACCACTTATGCTACATTTGGAGAAAGCCAAGTCATCTGTACATAAAATGTTAAGCATCTGGGAAATTCTCAGGAGTTAAACTGTAAAACACATTTCTATTTTACCCTGCAAGGTGAACTATCTGAATTCTTTCTGCAAATAACAACCCAATCAAAGTGACTCAAATACAATTTTTATTATGACTCATGATTCATAGGGTCTCAATGGAGATAGGAGTGGATGCACAGCACCATCCTGGGAAGGTTTCAGCCATCTGTAACGTGAAACACATATGTTGTTTTATGCTATACTGCAAAAGGAGCTCTGGTGGCATAGTGGATAAGGCATTTGACTACTAACCAGAAGATCAGCAGTTCAAACCTATCAGCTGCTCTGCAGAAGGAAGATAGGGCAAAATACTTCCATAAATATTTACACCCTCAGAAACCCAATGGGGGTCACTATGAGTTAGAATCAACTTGATGAGAGTGAGTTTGGTTTTTTTGGGTCTATGATGCAAACTGTCTGAAAATTTAACTCCACCTTTCTCCCTCCCTCTCTAGAAAACAGTTCCTAAATCAAGACAAAACCAAATAACCAAACTCACTGCCATCAAATTGATTCTGACTCATAGTGACCCCCGTTGGGTTTCCAAGGCTGTAAATCTTTACAGAGCAGACTGCCTCAACTTCCTTCTACAAAGTGGCTGGTAGGTCTGAACCACTGACCTTTTGGTTAGCAGCCCAATGCCTTAACCACTACATCACCAGAGCACCTTTGGATCGAGATATATAGAGCTCCTTTGAATCAAGACAAGTAGGACTAAATGGAAGACAAGAAGGATAAATTGACCAACTTGAAAGTTCATTAAATCGGAAGATAGAAACTCTTTCTAACATTAAAAAAAAGAAAGAAAGAAAAATCCTTGGCCCTTCTGACAAGCATGACACCTCAAATTCAAATTACAGAACACACAGTCACAGCAATGTCTGGATTTGGGGTGTCCTTGCTGAAACATAAGGAGCTCTGGTGATGCAGTATTTAAAGCATCCAGCTGTTAGCCAAAAGGTCAGTGGTTCAAACTCATCAGCCACACCACAGGAGAAAAATGAGGCACTCCACTTACCTAAAGATTCACAGCCTCAGAAACCCTGCGGGCAGTTCTACTCTGTCCTATTAGGTCGCTATGAGTTGGAATCGACTGGACAGCAACGGGTTTTGGTTTTGCTGAAACATGAATTGTTATAAATGTTGCAAATTGCTTCTAGGAACACTTTTGGTTCATTGTTCATTTGGAGAACTCATCACTCAAAGATTCTGGCACATTGTATCAGATACATTCATGGACACTGTACACTCAGCCCATCCTCAAGAAGCTGACTGTGGGGTGGGGGGAGACAGACATGATCAGACAAGTAATTGATTGCAGTTATGATAGGCACAGGGTACTCAGAGTCCCCAGGCGGTATAACTGAATAACACACTAGACTGCTAACCCAAACGTTGGCAATTCAAATCCACCCAGAGGACCTTGGAGGAAAGGCTAGTGCTCCACTTCTCACAAATCAGTCTTCGGAGACCCTGTGGCATCCCGTTCTACTCTGACACATGAGGTCATCATGAGTCAGAAGCAACTCAGTGCAACTGGGAGAAACAGGGCACTCTAGGAGCATGGACAGTGGGGCTTGAATGATTTGTAAAGTTGGTCAGCAAGGTAATGAAGAAACAGAGAAGGACTGCAGTGTGCGAGCCAGGAGGGGGTGGTGAAGAGCAGCCCAAGCACAGGGACAGCCTGCTGGAGGCCCTGATGGTGAGGGGAACTTGGCTCACTCAAGAAACTGAAAGGAGCCAGTATGGCTTTGGCACTATGGACAGGGGCATAGGTGGGAGCCAATGCTGGAAAACCAGGTCACTCAGGGGCTTCCCAGTGGACAGGAGTGGACAGGCACCTTGCCTGTTTGACCTTGACCAACTG